TGGTTTTAGTTTAGCCTGCAGTCTAAAAAAACTAGTTTAAAAATTCGATTTTTGAGTTTTTGTACTACTTTTTCGTCAATATCTCAAAAACTATTTATTGGAGGAAATATTGGTTTACAGATTTGTAATCATCAAAAAATTCTACATAAGGGAAACTAACAATTAAACTTAAATCGAAATAAATATTTTTTTAATATGTAGATATAGCTATAGTACACTCGAAATATAGTCAAATTGTGAAAAAAAAATAACAAAACTCTAAACTCTTGCCCTAAACTGCCGTTTTCACAAAATGTCTGTTTTTTTTGACTAAAAACGTAGTTTTGTCTTATCTTTGCCASCAAAATGACCCGATTTGGGTCCAGATGAAAAATCCTAGTTTGGTATTTTTGACAATTTGGTGTCAAATCTGACCATTTTGGCACTCCTGATTCTAAATATGACCTCGATTTGTCAATCAGGACTATTTCTTAAGCAATTCTTTTGCCTTGTGAGAAATTCCTGCTCCCTATTAGTTGATTAAAGTTAAAAATAGAGAGAGAATCAACGCAACGATAAATCGATGACCGCAATCTCACCTTCCTGCGGTTGCAGGATGCCTTTTTCAATGGTTGTTTTTTCAGGAATGAGTTCAGCTCGTGCTACGTTTTTTCCCAATTAATTGCTTCCTTCCAAACATTGAATTTCATTCAAAAAACCTTGAGCAATGAGTGTAATAACACACTGAGATAAAATATGATTATCCATAAAACGTAACCAGATAGTGTCAATCGAAGGGAAGTTGAAGCAGTTTTCCCAAGAAAGGTTCACATGAAGAGGTAGGGTAGATACGCACTAGCGCACATTCCCACACCGTCTTCTAATTTTATACTTAAAAAAACACGAGATTAATTCACTTTATATTCAAATTGGACGTGTGTACAAGCCGTTTAAAAGCCACCTGCGAGCTTTTGCGGCCAAATCCGGCGCCATCTTGACGCAAACTGGCGCCAAATTCAAATTCGAGACAACAAAATCACTAAAAAACACTTTCTCATGGCTTTGAGAGACAATAAAGCGGAAACGAGTCATTTCGGATTTTCGGATGGTATTGTGTCTTGGGAAAACGGAACCATGAATCATTTCATTAGATTTGATTAAGATACAAGTACTTATTAGCAGATTTCAGTTTGAAATGATCAAAAAACAACCCTTCAAAAGCACACCGGAAGTTGGTGATGGTTCTAATTACAACTTCCGGTTGCACTGACCCGTGACACACCTGTAACAATGACTTTTGATCCTTGAGTCATGGGTTGCTTGATCGAACAACCAATTAAAAAAGGCAATTTTCTTGATTATTGATCACATTTTAACGTTAAACTAAAACACTAATTGAGAAACGGAGGTCATGGGCGTAATCAGGAGGACCAAATTAGTTAGTTTTGATACCCACATTGTAACAATACAACTTTTCACATGGACCCAAATCGGGAAGTTTTGGTGGCAAAATTAAACAAACCTACTATTTTGCTTAATTTTCTGAGGATTACAAATCTATAAACGAAAATTTCCGACAATAAATGGTTTTTAAAAAAATTATTCAAAAACTTGTTCAAAAAATCAAATTTTAAAATTTGTTTTAGTAGACTGAGACAAAATATAACTCTAATCAATACACCAATGTTATATTTGAATTTAGGAACACTAAAATTATCAGGTTTGACGTCTAAGTTGTACCAAACTAAAATTTTTCACATGGACTTATATCGGGAAATTTTGGTGGCAATTAAACAAAATCACTCTTTTTGTCATTTTGAAAGTACGTATTCTAAATAATGTAATTTGCGTCAATACTTTACCATTTTGGACGTTTTATTTTACAATTTGATAATTTTTCGAGAATATACATAAAAAAATCTGTTTTTTCGATTCAAGATAAATTTTGAATAAAAAAATTGTTTCCCTTACCAATTTCCTGAAGATTATGAATCTCTAAACAACATTTTTTTAAAATAAACATTTTTTAGGATATTGACCAAAAATATGTACAAAAAGTCAAAACTCGAATTTTAAAAATAGTCCACAAGAATTTATCACAAGAGAAAAAAATTGCTCGAAAAAAACCCACATTGACAAACGGAGGTCATATTTAGAATCAGCAGTGCCAAAATAGTCAGATTAGACCTCAAATTGTCATAAAATACCAAACATGGACCCAAA